CTCAATTTAAGGAAAACAATGTCCACGTGAATGGGCAACAACAGGTTGATCTTGTGTTTAGTTTAAATCAATGTTAATATTATCTTTTTCACTATTGAAATATTTACTTGACATTATTCGCATCATCTTTAAAGTTCTCGAACGGTGAGCAAAAGAGATTGTGTAGTGATGAAAGATCAACCCCTGAGTTCAGCAGCAAGGGGGTGCTATCCCAAAAAGGATGGAGAAAGAGAAATGAGTAATAGGTCTATATTGATTTATCTCTAGTGAAAAGATATTTGCATCATTCTAACCTCAAATAAAGTGAAAGAAAACCATGTAAAAATAATCATTACTTGAGAACTTGAAATGCTTTGAGCAGTATGATGATGGGCTGAAAACTGATTGGAGCTGAGAATTGATGAAACTAGTTCTGAATTTCTAATTGATAATTATATGATAATTAATCCGAATGCAATATGGTAATTGTTAATTTTCTTTTGGATAAGTATGGTAATTGTAAATTTTCATTTGTATATTGTCTAAAATGATACTCCCTTTGTTTCAATTTAGATGACACACTTTCCTTATTAGTCCGTTCCGGAAAGAATGACACATTTCTACAATTGGAAACAATTCAACTTTAAACTCTTTATTTTACCCATTTACCCTTAATGAGAAGCTTTTATAACCACACAACTGTCATGGTCCCATAAAGTTTTTACCCCTTGAGCTTTTAAGACCACAAGTTTCAAGTCTTTTTTTTCTTAAACTTCGTGCCGAGTCAAACTACCTCATCTAAATTGAAACGGAGGGAGTGCAATATATGCTGGAGAAACTTGGTGTTGCTGGATCTCAATATTGGGGTTTTTTGGGGGAGTGGAGGGACAGTAGCTGAGCCACATAGCTCCAAGGTGTGACAGTCTAACATCCCTTTGCCGAAAAAATACACCGTTTAGATAGGTAAAAATTAAGAATTTTTATGTAATATATATTATGCATTGAATCCCTTGACTTCTTCGTTTATTTATTTATTTTTAAATTTTGACTCCCCTTAGTGAAAAGTATGGCTTCGTTATTGGGCAGGGGACTTGTGTGTTAGTGAGGATGGACATTGTATTAAAGAAATCTTGAGGCTATTTCTGCTCTTTTAAAGCATTTCTAAAATATTCGAAAATCTCCTGCCCCTGCACTTTAACCAATGATTCTTTAAATTTTTTCGCTTACATTGGAGAGCCATATTGACACTTGGACTTTCTGTGAATATTTGTGTGTCTCAGGGGAAACTGCTATCATGGTGTTTATATTTATTGGAGTATGATCTTCACTTTTTTGAGTGGTCGTTAGTGTACGCTTAGTGTAGTCTTAGTGAAGAGCAAATTATGGAACATAATTTTAGGTGAAACAATTGATTTTTGTGTTTTGTATTTTGCTTTGCATATTGTATTATTTCTTGCAGTTGCACCCAAGGGTGTGCCTAGTGGTCAATGAAGTAGGAGGAGAACCGTGAGGTCTCTGGGTCCAAATCCCAGCGGAGACAAAAAACTCTGGGTGATTCCTTATCTGCGTAAGCATTGGTGGGCAGAGCTACCTAGTACCTGAACTGGTGTGAGGTAGTAGGTACTCGGTGGAATAGTCGAGGTGTGTGCCAGGTGACCGGATACCACCGTCGGAAAAAATAAATATATATGTACTTTCCTGCAGTTTCCGGAGTTTCTATATATGATGTTTGCGTGTGTATTCTTATAGTTTATGCATGTGTGTATATATATTTGCTTTAGATGGCAGTCCTCCTTTGTGGAGGTTCTAAGGGTTCCCTTGGAGTGTTGTGTAGACTTTGCCTTCAACATTTTAAATTTTTGTTTGCTTTCTTCAAGGTTGCAAAACAGATGTTGTGTTACATGGCAGTCCTTTTGAGGAAGTTTCCACGATTCCTTTGTTCTTGTGCGGGTGTCGAGTAACATTGTTTGTCAGTCACACCTTTGCTCTTGATTGAATCAACCTGCTGGTTGTGGGGACTTGTACATTGGGAAATTGAACTGGCATGTTTCTACAGTCTGTCTGGAAAGGCTTCTCCTTTGAAACTGAGATATTTGCTTTCATTTCGAAATCTAATTTATGAATGAGCTTTTGCTATGATTTATCCTTCTGACTTATGTGGTAAATAATTTTGTATACTGGTTGCTTTGAGTTTTGGAGTAGTGACAAAGACAAGTATCAAATCTTTTGTTGTTTGAGATAATTTAACGTGTAACCTTGATTCTATGCCCACCTCTTAATTCTTATAAAGGTTTCCAAGTTTAAAGTTGATTGTTCTGAAATAGCATCGTTATGTAGGGCCTGAGCCCATTGATTCTGACCTTCTCTCTCTTGGCTGTGTTTATCGTCTCTTATGTTTTTACTTTATTAATGTGTTCTATAGAAATGAACAATTTTGTTTTTGCAGAGTGAGGGCTCAGGTGTGTGGATTACTCCAGGCCGAGATTTATCCAGCTTGCAAGCAAGTTCTTTTTATAACCTACCCCAGGGTCAAGTGGGTTTTACTCCCGCACAACCTGGCCACGGAAACCTTGCTGGTCTTTATCATCCAGCACAACCGGTGACTGCACAGACTGTTCATCCACTTATGCAACAGTCGCAGACGATGGCTGGTCCAGTTGATATGGTAGGACCAACAGCCACTGTCTATCAGCAGCCTCAACATTCACAAATTAACTGGCCGAGTAGCTACTAAGGAGCTGTTCCTGTCATTTGTAAACCACAAAGAAAAGAAGAAATGAAATTATTGATTGGAATTCACAAGTTTGGAGATGGAGGCAGCATCTAGCAAATGCCAAAAAGACAATCACTGTTCAGGTTGACTGTAAATCTATGAGAGAATGCCCCTCCTAGGGAAAAAAAACAATGAGGTATCACTTTTCTTGCTTGGGATTGAGGATGCAAAGGGTATATCCTCCTGTAACGAATAGTGACAGTCTTTTAGTTTTGAGGCTGGCAGGCATAAGCAAATCGATTTTCCATTACATTTTGGTAGCCCTTCGATAGTTTTCAGTATTAACTCTTTTCTTTTCAGTCATTTTTTCGAGTTTCTTTCCTATATATCCTTCTTTGGTAGGTTTGGGGCTCCTTAAAGCAATGTGGTTTTTAGGGGATTTTCATACATTTTCTTCCCTTTTTTGGCTCCAATCTTCTTTATCTGTAAAGTTAGTTTTGACATTAGAAAACAGACGTAGTTAGACTGTTGTAATTGATGCTTGGCACAAGCAAAGATCCTGCATTCTTTCAGTTTTGACTGTTGTAATTGGTGCTTGGCACAAGCAAAGATCCTGCATTCTTTCAGTTTTGCTGGATTACTTAACAGTGGTGAGCATGGTGGGGTAAATTGGTATGATACAGCTTTTAAAGCTGTTGGTACATTGGAAATTTTAAAATCTTGCCGATGCCCGAGTTAATGTGATTTTGTATTTTTTCTTAGGTTTGTCTTTTCGATTATTCAGTACAGAAATGTACATTATCAAGAAGTGAAGGGGTACAGAATGTGTTTATTTTAAAAGAATCTGCTGGATTAGCTAAGATGCTGGATATCATAACAGCACATGATAAACTGTGGTTTTCTTTGATATCTTGGATTCATATTGGCAATATCAAAATATTATTGCTATTTCAGTGAGACATACAGACAAACATGAGTCCAAGCTCTTTGAATTTTGGAAGCTCAGAAACTCACTATTAGGACCAACTACTTTCCATGTTTTAATGGCTTGGCCCAAGTGTTGCAATTCAACCTTTCCTCAAAAAGCTTCTAATTGTTGAAGCTTTGTTTTCCCTTCATAATCTTCAAGTAGCCTTTGCTAAGATGATAGTTTCTGGATAGAATGACAGCTCCAGTCTCCTCCCTTAATTTAACAAAATATTGTGAACATGGAGTCAAATCTCATTAGGTTCTCTGGGGGTTAATCCCAGGACTCTGAATGACAGCTATGGTCCTGAATCCTAATGAATGAAGCTATGTTTCCACTTGTGTCATCTCATAATATTTTATTAAAACAGATTTATGGTACTTTGGAAAGTACTAAACAACATCCCTTATTTATGTAATTAAATTTTGAACTAATCCTGAACTTGTTTTGTGTTAAAGTATTACAGTACTAGCCAGAGATAAGTGATATCCCAGTCAAGCAGTTTCTGTTCTTTTAACCAAGGTGAGAGAGAGATTGAGATATGTTCAGGTGCGTATGATATAATTTAGAAGTGGGTTGAATGAGCAAAGTATCAAAGAAAAGTCAACATTGAAGTTTAATAAGGAGTTTTGGAAACTTGAGCAAGTGCAAAAATAGAACCAGGAAGAGAGAACAGGAGCGTATAGGCCGCGCTCCTCTGGACTATATATATTTTTGGGGGAATTATGGGTTTTGGCTAGTTGGTTAGAACACTAAGTATATTCCACTCATTTATTACAATTATTAACCCCTAAATACATTGAAACCAATATTGATGTAAGGGTATTAATACAATTCTCCTCCAATTATATTGATGTAAGGGTATTAAAGGTGTTTAAGAGTTAGAAACATCATTTAACTCACAGATCGAATAAACCATAGAATCTTGAGTTCTGAAATTGTTGGGTTTGTTGATGAAGAAGATGATTAGTGATATGACATGATTATTGAGTTATGTATTACTTTAATGGCTTCAGTGCTTGGGTAAATGCTAAGAATATGTAATAGACTAGAATTTATTGAAAGTAGAGAAAATTAAGAAGATAACAATTGAGAAACAAGCTTTTATTATTCGAGTATCAATGGAAATGAGTTACAATTGATCCACCAAGCTAACTTTACAGTTGATGCCTGAAAAAAGAAGAAAAAGAAGACGATTAGGAGAAAGAGAGAGGGGAGGAAAGAGAAAAGGTACTTGTAACAGAATTTACCGGTAATTGCCTGCTTCTCCAGCCACTCATTCATATATATATATATATATATATATATATATATATATATATATATATATTACATGCTGAACATCCTTTGCTAGAACTGAGCCTTTGAAATTATGCCCAACTTATTAATACACTCTACCTACTCGGTGTAATAACCCGTCTATCAATCCAATTTATCAGGCCCAAGCACTCATACTAAAGTGAGTGTCTAGATGATTCAACTAATTTTCCTAATTTGTAACCTAGAGATCTCCGAACATAACAATCCCATCCCTTTCGAGAAAGACCTTGTCCTCAAGGTTGATGTTGTGCAATAAACTCAAGGGATCGACTCTTGATGTAACCCCAGTCCTTCTAAGAAGGTTCCTTTTCATTCAGATTAGCCCACTGAACCAACAATTTCACTCCCACACCATTAGTGATTTTGACCATTTTGCGCCGAAGAATGGCTACAAGTTAAATCAAAACTCGACCATCTGCATCACAGGGGGGAGGTTGTCGCTCCAGAACTATGGTTGGGCCAACTCAGGGTTTCAGTCTTGAGACATGAAAAACAGGACGAAGTTGCGACCCAGGTGGAAGCTCCAATCAGTAAGCTGCTGACCCGATTTTCTATTCAATCTTATAAGGTACATAGTACTTGGTGCAAAGCTTCACATTTTTGCGCACATCAATAGAATACTGTAGGTAGGGTTGTAACTTTAGGTAGACTTTATCCCCGACTTCTAATATCCTTTTTGACCGAAGTCTGTCTGCGTAGAATTACATGTGATCTTGTGCTCTACTTAGATTTTCTTTTTGAGCTTGTAGCATGTGCTGGAGTTGAGCCAAACTCAACCCTGCTAGTGACTGACCGACATTAGGCGAGGATCATGTTGGTAGTTAGGGTGGGGAATACCCATACAAGGCTTGAAATGGAGTTGTCTGTAATGCACTATGAAAATTTGTATAATACCATCACTCTGCCAAATGGGGCCATTTGGACCATAGCTTAGGATTATCAAACACCATTGCTCACAGATAGGTTTTTATACACCTGTTAAGTTATTCTGTCCGCCTATTTGATTGTGGATGGTAGGCTATACTCATATTCAGTTTGGTCCCTATAGTTTTGAAGAGGTGTTGCCACAAATGGCTAGTGAAAATAGGATCCATATCTGATACTATTGATCTGGTCTCTGGGCAATCCATGTAATATGTAGATCTCATTGAGAAATAGATCAGCCATTGAAAATGGGTGTTTGAGAGCCAAAAGATGATCATACTTAGTGAGCTTGCCAACTACCTCTAGCATGGCATTTTTGTTCCCAACTTTGGGCAGTCCCTCCACAAAGTCCATGGAGATGTCTTGCCAGGCTTGATCTAGAATTGGGAGAGGTTGAAGCAATCCTGGGGTGTGAATATTCTCTGTCTTCACTTTTTGAAAGACATCACACTCATCCACTCATTTACAAACATTCCTTTAATGTTAGGACAATAGAAGAGAAGTTGTAATATTTTATAGATACACTGATGGCCTTGATGTCCACCAATGGTAGAATAGTGCGTAGTCTGCAATAATATTTTCCTGAGATCAGTGTCCCTTCCCACATAGATCTTCTGCTTATACCTTATGACTCCCTGATGCAATGAATAATCAACCTTATTGCTAGGAGCAACTGTTAACTCACCAGTAGTTGTAAGGCTATTGGATCATCCTCATAACTGATGTTAATTTCCTGCAGTCAAGTGTCCTGTATAGTATATATAGCCAATAATGTAGAATCTTCGTCCTGCCTTCTTGAAAGTGTATCTGCCACCTTATTCTCACTCCCTTTCTTGTACTGAACCTCATAGTCCAGTCCCACCAATTTTGTCAGTTCCTTCTGTTATAAGGTTGTAGTTACCTTCTACTCTAGTAGATACTTTAGGCTTTGATGATCTGTCTAAACAATGAAATGTTCCCCTCGCAAGTAATGTCTCCATGTCAACAGTAATATCTACTTATTACTTCTCATAAGTAGATAAGCCTCTATGCTTTGGTGCCAAGGCCTTGCTGAAAAAATCTATAGGTCTTCCTCCTTGCATTAGTACAGCCCCCGTCCCGGTAGCATATGCATTAGTTTCTACCACAAAGGACTTTGAAATCAACCAAGCCTATCACTAGTACTGTTGACATTGCTGTCTTTAACTGCTGAAAGGCAGCTTCTGCCTCATCAGTCCATTGGAAGGAGTTCTTCTTCAGCAAGTTAGTTAGTAGCATGCTGATGATTCCAAAGAATTTAACAAACCTTCTATAGTAGCTAGTCAAACCAAGGACCCCCCTTAGAGCCTTAACAGACTTGGGTACATGCCAGTTCATCATTTCTTCAACTTTGGCAGGGTCAGTGAAAACTCCTTTTCCTAAAATGATATGCCCCAAATATTCCATCCTATCATGTCCAAAAGTACATTTGGACAGCTTTGCATAAAGATGTACCTTCTAAACTTTCTTGAGATGTAACACATGATTCTCCATAGAAGAGCTATAGACTAGTATGTCATCAAAGAATACCAATACAAACTTCCTCAAGAAGGGCTTGAACACATGGTTCATGAGACTTTGAAAGGTAGGAGGGGCATTGGTCAAGCCAAAAGGCATGACCCTAAACTAATAGTACCCTAGATGTGTTCTAAATGCAGTTTTAAAGATGTCACCCTCCTTCATCCTTATTTGATGATAACCAGCTCTTATATTAATTTTTCAATAAATGCAAGAACCATTTAGCTAATCCATCAGGTCATCCACCAAGGGAATTGAAAACTTATCTTTAATTGCCATCTTATTTAGCTCTCTATAGTCAATGTAAAACCTCCAACTCCCATCTTGTTTCTTGACTAATAACACAAGGGAAGAGAATGGGAATGATAGGGTTGAATAGTACTATTGCTAAGCATTTCATTAACTTATTTCTCTATCTCATTTTTTTGAATGTAATTATACCTGTATGATCTGATACTGACAGGTGCTGCCTCAGGTTTAAGTGGAATGTGATGGTCATGATTCCTCCTTGGTGGCAAGCATTTTGGCTCAACAAACACTCCCCAAAACTCATTAATTACATCCTGGATCATATCAGGTATGCCTTTATGTTCTTCTGTGGTTTTGATGGTGATTGTGAACAGATGTGCCCATAATACTTGCTCTTTCTTGAGCAGATGTGTTTTACACCAGTAGTTGTCATACTTTGTAACTTACCTTCCTCATAGTAGCCTTTCAAATCCACCCCTTTTCCTTTCACACTCACCTGCAATCTATAACCAATAAAATTAAACAAGACTAGATTGTGTTTCCTCATCCAGTGTACTCCAAGGACTATATCACACCCCCTATATCCAATAATCTCAGTTTATGCTCAAAATAAATCCCTTGAATCTTCCATTTGAGCTGAGGGCAAGATTGGTAACTCATCCGGTGTCCTCCATTAGTAGCAGCCACCCGCATAGGCACATCCTCTTGGATTGCACACCACAGTTGTTTGGCAGTACTACTAGCTATGAATCTATGAGTAATGCCAATGTCTGCTAAAACTATTAATACGTGTTTCCCATATACTCCTTTCAGTTTGATTGTTGTAGAGGTCATAGTTACTGATAGTTCATTGAGGTTGATTGCCTCATCAATAACTATTTCTGAGTTTTCATCAGGGAAAAATTCATTCTCCTGATTAGGTCCTATTTCCAACTATTCATGATCAGTAGTACCAGATAAGGCATTCAGTAGTTTACTCTTACAAACATGCCCAGGGAAATACTTTTCACCACACTTGTAGCACTCTCTCCTGGTCTTTCTGGCCTCAAACAGTTTGGTCCCTGAGATTGATGCATGATGACTTCCCTCCTTCTGCACATAACCTAGAGGGTTTATTTCTTGTAGTACTAGCAAAAGGGTACTAAATTGAGTTGATTGTCTTCCTCCATAAACTCTATTCTTCCTGCTCATGGACTCCAATAATTCCTCCTTGTATCTAACCTTCTCCACAGCATGACTTAGGGATAAGGATCAAGCTCTTGACTGTGTGTCTAATCTCTTCCTTAAGTCCTTCAATGCAGAACTCCAAGAAAAATTCTTCAGGTATAGTGGGATGTTTAATCAACACCCATGCCTTCAAGTCCTTAAATATCTCTAAATACCCATTCATTTTGTTCCACCCTTTTAAAATTTTCCCAACAAATTGAGGTTGTTATTATCAGCATCATTGAATCTTTTACAAATTTCTTCTATGAAATCATTCCATTTAACAGTGCCTCTACTCAGTTGGTAAGAGAAATACCAAGCTTCTGCCCTCCCATTTAGATGTAGCACGCCATTTTTTAATTTGTGTTATGAATAAGTTATGTGATTGTAATGAAAATACCTCTCACATTTCTGCAGCCAAGATCTGGGATCTCAATCCTCAAAATAAGGGCAATCGATATTAGAGGTAGAGTTGTTCAATGGAATCTGCCAGTTGAAGTTTCATGGGTCTCCATCATCCTTCCTACCAGACCCTTCAATCGTGTGAGAACTTGTTGGAGTACTCCCTAAGATTACATCCGTGCTCGCGAAGAATTTATCCATCATCAAATCAAATTTATGATTTAATTCATACATTTTAGAGTCATTCGACTCCAATTTTTTGTTGGTCTCTGCCATGTAATTGCGCAATTGACTTTTCAATTTTTTGACACTATCCTCTGTAACTTTTGCTCAAGTTTTTGGTACTGTCATGGTGCCAGGAAGATGCTCTGATACCAACTTGTAATAGACTAAAATTTATTGAAAGAACTAAAGAAAAATAAGAAGATAAAAATGGAGAAACAAGCTTTTATTATTCAACTATCAATGAAAATGAGTTACAACTGATCCACCAAGCTAACGTTACAGATGATACTTGAAAGAAGAAGAAGAAGACGATTATGAGAGAGAAAGAGGGGAGGAAAGAGAAAAGGTAGTTAGGGAGCTATAACAGAATGTACCGGTAATTGTCTGGATCTTCAGCTCCTTATCGTATATTTATTACACCTCAATTGAATATTACAGACTGGGCCCCTTTTGCTAGAACTGGGCCTTAGAAATTAGGCCCAACTTATTAATACACTCTACCTACTCGATGTAATAACCCGTCTATCAACCCAATTTATCAGGCTCAAGCACTCATACTAAAGTGAGTGTCTAGAGGGTTCAACTAACTTTCCTAATTTGTAACCTAGAGATCTCCAAACATAACATAATCGAATATACTAGATTTATTTTACATAATTTTGAAGGAATAAAGTTTGGGTGGCTTGTCTCCAATGCTAAGCCCTAAATAGGTCATGTGGATTTTTATGAACAAGCGTTGATCAAAATTGACCGTATTAATGTAGATTGATTGTTACTGGCTGAAAGTATTTGAAAGGTTAAACTAGCAAGGTAAGTTGGACGCATACACGTTTACTAAAAATGCATGAATTGATGTTTATGAAGATTGTTTTAAATGTGAGTAAGGTTCGTATGAACAAGCAACCTATACTTTCCATTCCATATATATATTCGAGATTGAATAATGTTATCTTTTATGTTATATTCAAGTATGTGATTCCTGCGGCTAAGATTATACCAAAAAGTGAATGAGATGTTCTTGAATGCATAAAACTACGGTGAAAGTGTCCATGATAAAGATTCATGTTTGTATGTTTTACTTGATTTCAAATGTATGATTTGCTTTCAAGTTAAAGTGTTAAAGTTAATATGTTTTATGAGTTGGCTCACAAAGAGTTTATTCTTAGAACAATGAACTTTTGTGAAATGCTTTATGATATATCGTTATTATTGCAAGTATCCTTAAGTTTTGGAGACTTCCTCAAACCTTATTGGGAGGATTAAATGATATTTAGGAGGTACAATTTTATAAAAATTATACTCAACCTTTTATTTTATGTTTCAGATACTGTTATATACGTGCTACGTATCTCCTCCACCTATTGATTTATTTTGATAAGCCTCACTCTTACTTCTATGGCTGTAAGTAATAGACATCATCCTTTTAGATGAGTCGGAGATTTATATCTGGTGCCATCGTTCCTTTTACGGAAAAGGGTTAAAAATGTCCCTAAACTATTGGAAAAGGTTTAAAAATACTCTTTATCCACCTATTGGGCTAAAAATACCCCTTTATTCACCTTTTTTGGTTCACTTATGCCCTTTGACCATTAGACCAATGCGAAAAAATAATAATTATTTAAATTACACGTGACAACTTCTTATTGGCCAAAATTAAAACATAACTCATTAGAAAGACCCACCCATATCTACCATTTTTTCGTACTAACCCGCTTCAAACACTAACCCGACCCGATCAAAAAGTTCAACTAAAAAAAAGAGAGGGCCCACTTCTATCAAACTCCATGGAACAAAAGCTCCATAGAAGTTGCAGCGAACATATAGACGCAAATTTACTACGTGATTTTCTTTTTCTTGTTATGGCATCCAGTTCAATTTGCACGATAGACACAAATTGCATTATATTCAAGAGGAGTTTAATTTAATCATTTTCACATAGCGGAAAGATCTCAAAGTGATTGTTTGGAGGATATCATAAACCGTTGGACTACCCCTTGTTTTCCGTCCCACATTATTGTCAAGAAAATCATTGGCTCATTCATGCTAGGCTTTTCTTGTTTGTTTAATTTGTTTATGAACCTTTATTTGATGATAATGAACACATGTAAATCCACGGGTTAGATAGAAGTGAGGCGTCTTTTTTGTATTTGAACTTTTTATTCGGGTTAAGTTAGTGTTTGGGGCGGGTTAGTCCGAAAAACGGGTAGATATGAGTGGGTCTTTCTAATAGGTTAGATGTTTTAATTTCGATCAATAAAAAGTTATCACGTGAAATTTAAATAATTATTTTTTAAATTCAGCATTGACCTAAAGATCAAAGGGCATAAGTGAACCAAAAAAGTGGATGGAGGAGTATTTTTAACCCAATAGGTAGATGAAGAGTATTTTAAAACCTTTTTCAATAGTTCAGGGGTATTTTTGACCGTTATCCGTTCCTTTTATGTTCATACAAGTATTAGGAACACTGTGTGAAGTCTAGCTATTTATATCATAACTCTGTTTGGTCTCTCCTATTATGATAACGATGTCATTCCTATAGGCCCTTATATATTTTGGCCAAGGCCTAGATTATCCTTTTGAAATAATGATGAGACTATTTATGCCAAATATTTATGATGAAATTTTCAGAATGTTTAAATTATGTTTTATGTACGTGAAGGATTTTATTAAATAGATTGACAAGTTTATGTGATTTATTCTGTGTAAGTTAAGGACATCCCAATTATGTCCTCTTTTTTTTACACGTAAACGAAACAAATTAAGGCACCGTCATATTATATTATTAAGTCCAATAAAAGTTGAGGGGTAAAATAATAATGATCTTAGATTGAGGAATGCGGACGTGGATCCAGGATTTTAAGAGGTTGGATGAACTACTATGAAGAGGTGGATCTAAAATTTATATTTGATCGGTTTAACTTTAGGCTCTTACCATGAATCCATAATACTTTTCAAAAAATAGATTTGAAATTATTTTTTTTTTAAATTTTAGTGATTTTCACATATATATTTATAATCCGTATTGAAAACAAGACCGTCCGGAGTGGATTTGAGCCGTCAATTTCACTTGTAGAGGTTCACCCAATAATTATTGTACCATGAGTGTCTTTGAACTTAGGTGCACATATTTATATTTAAGTAATTTAAAAAAGATATAATAATGTTATACATAGTTTAGAAAAAATAGTATAGATTCACGTGAACCCACGTCCAATAACCTAGATACGCCCCCCCCCCCCCCCC